GGTTTTGATCAGAGGGGCTGGGCTGGGGACATTGAGTTGTTTAGAAAAGACATAAAGTAATTAGTGAATGGAAGCAACAAATGCCTAAACTTAACATCTGGGGATAGAAATGGAAGTATTTCCCTAAGCTAGCTTAGTTATGAATACTTTCAGTGATCTAAATGGAGCATAATGATAACACTTTCTTGCACTGCTGTTAGACTAAAATTCAGACCTCATCGTTGTGGTCCCCATCTTCTCCCTCCTCTCCCAAGCTGGCAGCAGAGCCTGTCGTATTGCCTGCCTCTTCTTCTGTGTTCTTATCATTCTCAACTTCAAGGTAATCGTCTCTTAAATCCCTTTCAGTAGTTTTTACATGGTTAGAAGGATAATGAAGATTGAGCGCATGCTTTTGGTCTCTATCTTCTCTGACTCTGTCGGTTTCTCCTTCTGTTCGTGCAGTGTTATCTGGTTTTTGATTTCTGGCATCTTGTGATCCTCCAGAATGATCTTCCGCTTCTTTTGGTTCCTGATAATAGTCAACCTCTTGGTTGTCATCTTCTTTGACATCCCTTTCAGCAATTGTCACATGTTCAGAAGAATTTGAAAGATTTTGAGCTTGCCTTGGCTCTGTATCTTCTCTGATGGTGCTGATTATTTCCTCTGATTGTACTACTTCATCTGCTTTTTGATTTCTGGCCTCTTCTGAGATGCTACTCTTCTTTGAAAGAGGTGTATTTGCGGACCCTTCTTCTTGAGAACTCTGGAGCAGCTCAGTCTCTTTGTTGCTGACTTCTCTTTCCTGCTCTTTCTCAATCTTCTGAGTCATGTCATGATTCATGACTTCTTGGTTCCCTTCCTCTGCATCTGCAAAATTGTTAGGGTTTGGCCGTGTCTTACCAGGTGAACTATCATCATGATTTGTGCCAACATCTTGCATTCTGTGTCTCCCTGTATCTGGATTTGCTCCTTGTTCTGACCTTATCTGGTTATTGTTTTGTAATGCTGAATCTTCACCTTGTTGAATTTTTTTGGTCATTTCTATCCCGTAATCTTCCTCGTCAGATTTCTTCCTCATGTCCACATCCATGTCATTGTCTTTCTGATGGTCCCTTATTTCCAGTATGCTGCCTCTAACCCTTGTGACCCTTTCAGTTCCCATTCTTACTTTCAAGAATTTTCTGTTTCTCATGCTTGCAATTCCACGACTTTCCAGATGCATGCCACTTTCATCTACTTGGCGCTTAGCAATTATTTGCCGTCTCTTCCCTCTTGTGGTTCTCATGTGGTCCTTGCTCGCTCTTGATGTTCCTCTGCTGTTTGAATTCTTTTGCATTTCTATCTTAGTCACTCCTTTGTCATTCGTTCCAACTTCATAGTTTTGCTTTCGCACTTGATTTCTATCATGCTCATTTTCCTTAGATGCATTGTCACTGGTGTACGTTTTCTCATCTAGGTAAGATTCTTCCTTATTCTTATGATTGTCAGTGTTTTGTATTTGGCCTTTATTAGTTTGAAAAATGGCGGTGTTGCTGCTTGGAACATCTTTTTGAGAAGTTTCCAGCTGCTTAGACTGCTCGTATGCAGCTTTCCGTTTCACGTTGTCAAATCTCTCCCCAGTTTTTCCCGTGTTTTCACCTTCTCCAGTGACTTCCTTCTTTTTGTAATGGGTAGCTTCATTGGCCTTGCTGTCTGTCTCTTTTACTGAATTTTCCTGGTCTTCTATTTTGATGGATTCGTGCAATTCTCCACTTCTTCTTCGACTGTTGCTTCTTCTTCCAGCAGCCTTGGTGGGGAAATTTGTTGCTGGATTTGATGGGTGATCTGCACTTACTGACAAGACCTTTGTTGGTGAAAATTCAAGACGGTGTTTTAAATCCTCAATTTCAGCCTCTTTCTGTCTCAAAGTTTCAGAAAGTAGTGTAACCTGGGAATCATCGGACTTTGTTTCCATCTGTTTTTCCCTAAGCATCCTAATCTCACTCTGCTTTTCCTCAAGACCAACTTCAATTGTTCTTTGTTCTTCTTTAAGGGAAGAGATCGTTGACTTCATCTCTGATATCCTACTGTCAAGATCTGTTTTCTGCGTACCAAGCCAGTGTATATTGGATTTCATGTCCTCCATTTGCCTTCTGGTTTCTTTTGCCTTTTCTCTTTCTTTCTGTCACAGGTGACAAATAATGTTAGCTTGGGTAGCATAATAAACACAAAATTATGCTAATGGCAGAAGATAAAGACTATTGTTATTAGTCTCATTGAAAAACTCTACTGATCATAGATTACGTTGTACAATTAGCTGCTTAACACGGTAGATTTACAAATTTATCATCCATCTTTTCCCTTTTATGAAATTAAAATGCACTTTTGTTCATTCTATGATTGATTTACATCCAAGGTCTGTGATATTTGTCACCTGATCTGATTTAACATCAGATTTTACCAGAAAATTGTTGTATAAAACCATTTATTTTAACCCCGTTAAGCAACATGTACTCTTTCAGTTAGATGTTCGTTGTAGAGGCAGATATGGTTTCAAGTCTAATTCCTGGCATACTTTATCAAAATAAGTCTAACAACAGAAGTCTATTGGGAAGTATTGTTTCCTGATTTTGCATGTAAATAGATGTTAGCCATGGACAAGATTTCTTTTTTTCATTCAGTGCACACAGACACACAGAGAGGAGAGAGAGGAACCTGCAAGAGGAGTTTAAGGCCATCGAGTTCACGTTCTTTCTCCTTGACAAAGAGGTTGCAGACGCGCCTGTCCCTGAGCTTGTGGAGAGTCATAATTCCAAATACGGCAGCACCAAATGCGAGCAGCAGCAGAACTCCATATGGTCTTCCAGTGTTTTGACTGTGCAGGTTCCTTTTCATGCTTTTGCTTTATCTTATGTCCAGAAGATGTGTAAAGAGTTGTGGGTAACCTAACAAGAATGGCCTCACTTGGCTGTCTTCAGTAAATTTAGATTAATGTTTCACAGCTTGAGTGTTGCTTGTCATCTCAAAATGGTTCTCAAACTGCTTCCTCTTTCTCTCTCTCTCTACATGCAGAAGAGACACATAAATTTGTAGTTCTGATCTATAAGGAGCTAAGAAAGAGTAGAGAAGAGTTTGAAGGATACATGTGCATGGCATGTTGACTGTACAATTTTCTTAATTCATTTTTTAATAGTTGCTGCTCTTTTCTCGAGAATGCTTTGTCATGCTTCCTAGAGTATTTTGCTATGACATTTTTACTTCTGCCTTGTCTTTTTCCTTGAGCCGAGGGTCTATCAGAAACAACTTTTCTATCCCTCAAAGTAGGAGTAAGGTTTGCTTACACTCTACCCTCCTCAGGTCTCACTTGCAAGATTACATTGGATATATTGTACCCTCCTCAGGTCTCACTTGTGGGATTACACTTGGGTATGTTGTTGTTGTGGAATTGGCTAAATTTTCCTATTTGAAGCCAGGCAAAGCAAGTCTCGTCTCTCCGAGATGTGAAAGAGTGAAAAGATGGAAAACTTATAATTTTTCTGATAATTTATTTGATGTGCACGTAAGAAACCGAATATAATAATCATGTTTCAATCCCAAACAAGTTGTCAAATGTTTATGTCCGTTGCATAACATGTATCCTTGAGATATATATTAGGCTTATTTAGAAACTTGAACTATCACTTGTTCCAATTGAGCATTTGAACACATGATAAAGTGTTTTTATTAGACACTTTGAATTCAAAAATTGAATAAACTTTTACGCATATTTCCAAGTGTCCATAATCCTTAGTATTTTTGCAGTGAGCTATAGGTCAAAAGGTTTGGCCTTATATTTAGCAACAAGCAATCAATCTCAATTATGTTGTTTGACCCTTTATTAATAAGCATTATGTAATTGCAGTATGATTGAGTAGAACCAAACAGATCTGATACAAAAGCCTAGCTTCACTCTTAAGAATAAATCCATAGAACTATTCTGCACCTTAACTTAAAAATTATTAAGAATTCTTATCTGTAATTCACGCTTTTCAGACTCCACTTATGAAATTATAATGAATATATTATTGTTGTTACAACCCCAAATGAATTGACCCCTATCGTATACAAAGTGTCCATACGTTGCTCATGACAAAAAGGTAAAAACTACTTACTAGTTAGTATGGCTAGTTTTTGGATCGCTTATTAATATTTAGCAATTATTCAAAATGATTTTTAAAGTAAAAATAAAATTTTGAAAAAAAATTCTAGCTTCAACATGGAAAAAACTCGAGCACAATATATTGGAGTTTCAAATGTATAGTTCAAACTCCAAGAGAGGCAAGACAATTCAAGCTCTATGAATTTTTTTTTGGAGTTTGAACTAAGTATTTCAAACTTGCAGATTTTTTTAATTCTAGTACATTGTATTAGATTATCACATGTAAAGGTTTCAAACTCCAATAGCTAGGAATATTTTGGACAAAAAAAAATTAATGTTGAATAGTTTTGAAGCTGAAATTGTTAATTCGTCTATTTGCACATTTCTTCCGATATAGGGAAAACTAGAAACTTACATAAATATGTTATATTAAGAACATATTTACCATTTATAGTAATAACATTTTTTTTTCACTAGAACAATTTATTAAAAAAACACATATAATACAAGTATTATTGATGTAAATACATTTATCACACATTTTAATACACTTATAATACATTGTGTCAATTTTTTACTAAACAAGCATAATATACAGATATTGCATGCATAAATCACGTGTAATACATAGTGCATTTTTATCGTAGTATTGCTATGTATTTCTATAAATGGTAATAAATAAAATATCGCTAAAACTAGTAATTATTTATTAAAAAAGTACTAACTCAACTAATTTTTCAAATTTCAAATTAACTATATTTACAAGATGGGCTTCAAAAAAGGATGGGCTTGGACAATTGAAGCCCAATTGATAACATAGATCACTGGCCCAAACTTCAAATAATCTCAAAATTGTTCATGTGGTGTAGAAATGAATGTTCCATAATCAATTTCTTCCTACACTCAACCAAAGTTTTTTTATCTCAAGAACAAGAAAATGCTAAAATTGATGTTGGCTTGTTGCAAAGTGTACATATCAGAAAGCAGAAACAGGGGAGCTCTTGAATCAATTGAAAAAGCTGTCAAATTGTTTCCAGAATCCCCCATTATCAACAAATTTGAAGATGAGATTTACAACAGAGTTGGATATACCCTTGTTTCCAAAATTTCTCCCAATTCTTCATCTGGGTCTTGTTCCTTACCCTTAAAGAATGCATCTTTTGCTATGGTGAAAGCTGCATTTGAGACAATTGATCTTCAAGAACATTGTGGAACTCATCCTAGGCTTGGGGTTGTAGACCATATTTGTTTCCATCCCTTGGGTACAACTTCTTTGGACCTGGTTGCTGACACTGCTAAGTCTTTGGCATTTGAAGTTGGTTCTAATCTTAAAGGTTTGTTTTTTATATTTTTAGTGATATCTACACATACCGCTTATAAATGATGTTTTTTTTTTTTTTTTTCATAATTGTGGTGTACGGACTAGCTTGTGTGCATCTTGACTAATTTCACGCGTACTAACTCTGTACACATTGTAGCTACAAAAGATTGAATCTTGTTGTTTTGCATAGATAGATAAGCTTATTGTATGTTTGGCATTTATTGTAGCTAGAAAGATTGAATTTTTGCATTAGTAGTAAGATTAATTTTATGGCACCCAAGGTTGCGTCCAAGTGATCAAAGAAGTGGGTTGCGAATCATGAGGTGTGAAGGTTCAAATTTTAGGGGAGGCAGAAACGTGATTTCTTTCCATCTGTACGGCTTGGTGGACATAGTTGGGGGTACTTGTGCTGGTGGGAGTTAGCATGTACCCCTGGAATCAGTCGAGAGTGCAAGTTGACCCAAAATGTTGTCAGTCCTTCAAATATTTTTATAGTCCCACTTGACTTATGCCCCTTGGAAGTGAAATTGCTCTAAAAAAGATTGAGTCTTTATTTTGCATTAACAGGAAGATCAGTAACATGGATATGTAGCTGTAGTTGATGCATTTCTTTCTCTTATTTTAAGTTGTAACCAATCTTTCTCCTTCTCAAAACCTTTAATCATAATATTGATAAAAAAGAGTTGCAAGAGTATGTGGTTAATATGATACAGAGCGTATGATAATTAGTACTTATTGTGTTCTGATTTGAAACCATGTAAGAACCATAGTCAATTTTAAGGTTTGTTTGTCTTTAATTTCTGAATGTTGATATAATAGAGAGGTATTGATCGTGTTTCATCTAGGCTTGTTCATTGTTCAATGGTATAAAGATAAAGGACAAATAAATGGCTGTTTGTTCACATTAGGAGTGTTGCATTGGTCACTAATTCACTTTTTTTGTGGTCTAAAGTTCACTCATTTTTCTAAAGGCTGCTCAAAAAGATGGCAATTGTAACACAAGTGAAATTACACATGAATTCGGAAGGCTTAAAGTTATATATAAATTGAAGATAAGTTTTGAAACACTGAATAGGGAAGGCTAGGTGAAACTAATGGACCTATATTTGTGATTAATATATGCTGCTATGGACTTGAAATCAGATTGTTGAGTGGTATATAGTTCTTACATTTGGAAGAGACACATGAGAAAAAGCTACTACTGGGATGGTGTTTGGTACCTATAGCTGATTATTCTATGTTAAGTGAATCACAATTCTTCATTAGTCAATTTTCCATATGATGTAAAGAAGGTGCTTCACCACTTGCATGCTCACTTTCATTCATACGATAATCTTCTACTTAGTGGTTTTTCAAAATGTAATAGAAGAGTTTAATTCAATTACCTTATTTTCATCTTCATCAAAAACAATTACCTCATTTCAATCAACGTTTCCCAGAGGTTAATTTATCTCTTGCCTATAAACTTTCCTTTAAGATGTTTTGACTTCTGACTAGTGTGAGGCAAGCATAGCTGATATGTATGGTTCTCTTTAGCATTCCATCATTAGTGCCATTATTGAAACTTCGATTAAACCACTGCAAAGATGGTGCGAGACTACATGCAGAGCTCTACATAATCTTAAGATCTAGTAGAAAATGAATTTTGACACCTTGTAGATAACTGCCATTAATCAATTAAATCATTTAACAATAACGATAGGCTTAGCACAAGATTGTCTTGTTTCGTACTCCTGGAAAGAGCTTATTATTACAAAATTGCAAGCCATTATATGTTCTAAGCCGCTTGACCTGTTTTCTTGTTTGTTTCTCAATCAAAACTTTCCATTGTTTGAAAGTTAAGAAAACATTACTTTTGTTTTTCAGGAAATAAATGCAAACTTTTCTTGAATAATCATCAAGAAAGTTAACATATACCTGACACCACCTTTTGACGGGGTACGAGAAGGACCCCAAAGATCTGAATAATTGTAGTCCAAAGTACCCTTTTTTTTTTTTTTTTATGACAAGGGAAACCCGTAGCCGCTACCCTTTCGGTGCGCACAGGGTAAAACCCCCGCTCTTATGCAATAGCTCGCAAACCACATAGAAGAGGTAATCTGCATTAGGCAAGCCTGGTGCGACGAGCTCGACCCAGAAGGCAAACCCCTTGTTTTCGCTGGCAAGGGGTTTCGAATTTGAGACCTCCAACATGAAAGTCCCAAGCTCAAACCAGGCCACCCCGAAGGGTAGTACCTTTTGTTCGATGAATTGCTGGAGATTTAAAGTTGACTCTTTTCTGCTTCCCGAACACACTGTGTTCGGAGAACTCTATGTTCCCAGTACTTAGTCCACACAGAAGACCTCTTTTGCTGAGGATGGAAAGACCTTTCTCACTCATATGCCCCAATCGCATATGCCACAATTTGGTGATGTCGGAATCAAATTGGGCAGAAACTGTAACAACACATGTAATAGTGGATCCCAACAAAGTGTACAACGTACCAGATCTGTGTGCTTTCACTATCACCAGGGCACCTATAGATATTTCCATATGTTCACCTTTACCTGTGTATTTGCACCCAAGAGATTCTAGAGTGCCCAATGAGATGAGATTTTTCTTTAAGTCAGGAACATATATAACATCGGTGAGAGTTCTTACCACACCATCGTGCATTTTGATTTGAATTGTACGTTTACCAAAAACTTTGCAGGGAGCATCGTTTCCCATCAAGACAACTCCACCTCCAATAGATTCGTATATGGTAAATAAATCCTTTTGGAACACATATGATAAGAACAACCCGAATCTAAAATCCACTCATCGTTAGATTTAAAACTATTACTAGTAGCTAAAAATATTGTTCCGTCAGACTCATCAGCAGCTACACTTGCTTCAGCGGGGTCAGTATTTTGATGCTCATTTTTGTTTTCCTTATGCTCTTCTTTGTTTTTCAACTTATAGCATTCAGAAATAATATGATCTTTCTTATGACAATATTTGCACACCACATTTCTGTATCTGGACTTTGACCTTGATTTAAGCCTTCCCATGAGTTACACTACTTTCTCAATAATATCTCTATCTATTTGTTCTTTTGATTTTAAGATAGATTTGATTTTCCTATAAGACATATTATCCTTTCCATAAAGTATAGTATCTCTAAAGGATAATATCTCTAATATGCTTAAATGATTGGGGTAAGGAAATAAGTAATAAGGCAACTTGATCCTCATCATTAACTTAAGCATCGATATTACTTAAATCCATAAGAATAGAATCAAATGCATCAAGATGTGAGAGTATAGACGTATCTTCAACCATACGAAATGTGTAAAGCTTTTGCTTTAGGTAAAGCCTGTTTTCCACTGTCCTCTTCATATACAAGGTTTTTAGTTTTTCCCACATGCCTTTGGTAGTGGTTTTTGCAGGTACTTCACGTAAAACCTCATTTGAAAGATTTAAAATGATACCTGATTTTGCCTTTTTTGTCTATGACAGCAAACTTCGTATCCGTCGTATTTTCTGGCTTCTTCTCCTTTCCTTCCAGTGTCATCTTGAATTAGGATAGCCTTCATCTTTAATTGCCACATTCCGAAGTTTGCACTTTGGTCAAATTTTTCAACATAAGTCTTCGTTACTGTCATTTTTGGCTACTGAAATCAATCTGATTAGATCTGACTCTGATACCAATTTGTTAGGATCGAGAACTCGGGTAGTGCAGAATTTGCCAAACAATGTTATAATGACAATAACAAAGACAATAGTAAGTTGATAATAATAAAAGTAAAGCAAATAAAAAGACACAAATTTCATGTGGTTTAGTCGGTCTGACCTAGTCCACAGTCAGAGAGGAGCAATTTCACTATATCAACAAGAGTAGAAAATTAGAGTAAATACTCTAATTAATCCCAAATACCCAAAGAGAATAACCTCACAAAATTACTCCAAAGAAAGGGTTCAAACAAGTGTTTCCCAACACTTACTCTTACAAAATTACTCTTAATAGAAGGACAAGGAAAGAAAGCAATGAATTGTTTTCATATGCTTCAAGGCATGTTTCAACTAATGTTTAACTTCCCTATTTATAGAGATAAAATGGGTTTGTTGATGTCATGGATGATGTCTTTGGAAGATACAAAATATTCAACATTTCAATGTGAATATATCAAATATTATGGCTTCCAAATCTTTGAAAAATATAGTTGTCAAATTGTTGACAAATATGGCTGTCAAATTTTCACATTTGTGGCTTCCAAATCTTTCACAAAAGAAAGATAAAATAATTTTCTTCAGTCAAACAAAAGATCACATTACAAATCTCCACCTTAGCCTGAGTTTGGTGAATATAGTAAATTTGTTTCATTCTCTCCACAGAAGCCCATATGGGCAAAATTATTCTTCCTAAATTCTTCGTGAACATGTCAGCAGGGTTGTCTCTTATGTTAATCTTCTGAACAGAGACCTTTCCTTCACCAATGGTTTCCCGGATGAAGGAAGATCTTTGGTTGTCCTGCGTACATGCATGTGAATGATGATAAATTAGAGCCAAGGGCTAAAAAGTGTATTTTCCTTGGATATGCATCTGGGGTGAAAGGATACACACTCTGGTATCCTGATCCCAAGTCACCAAAATTCATAATTAGTAGAGATGGTTTCTCGGATGATTTAACACGAGACAACACTGCTGACATGTTCATGAAGTCTCTTCCAGTCAGCAAGTTCAAGCTTTGTTTGAACTTGATTGACATTTATGAAGAATAATTTAGCCCATATGGGCTTCGAAGAGAGAATGAAACAAATTTACTATATTCACCAAACTCAAGCCAAGGTGGAGGTTTGTAATGTGGCATTTTGTTTAATTGAAGAAAGTTATTTTATCTTTCTTGTGTGAAAGATTTGGAAGCCACAAATGTGGAAATTTGGCAGCCATATTTGTCAAAGATTTGGAAGCCATAATATTTGATATATTCACATTGAAATGTTGAATATTTTGTATCTTCCAAAGACATCATCCATGATATCGACAAGCCTATTTTATCTCTATAAATAGGAAAGTTAGACATTAGTTGAAGCATAATGAAAACATTTCATTGCTTTCTTTCCACTCTTAATTTTGTAAGAGAGTAAGTGTTGGGAAATTAATTAGAGTATTTGCTCTAATTTTGTACTGAAGTACCTTCAGAATGTGGCAATGATGGAGGCTATCCTAATTCAAGATATGGCACTAGAATGAAAGGAGAAGAAGCCAGAAAATATGACGGACACGGAGTTTGCCATCATTGAAAAAAAGGTGTACCATCAATACCCTTTAGTTGAGTGCTACTTAGGATGTTTGTAAATAATTGCTAGTTTGCATTTTTCTCATATCACATGCAGAGATCTACATAAACTTGAGATCTAGTGGACGATGTATTTGGACCAGCTTTGATGGATCAAATCATTATACAAAAGCTATTGCTTAAGGCAAGTTCCTTTTTACATTTTGTATCTCCTGGAGAAGATCTGATATTAAGCATGATGTTACTAAATCGTGGAGATAACCTCTAATAACTACCATCATAGCCTTTGACTAAGTGCTGTTTACGTTCTTTGAACACAATTACTTTGTGTGCTTGTTGCATTTTGCTATGTGTCGACAAATCCATTTCATGGTAATAGGATGAAGTTGTGCTTTACGTTGACAAAGTTTTTACTGCTTTTTATTCATTTTAATGTCAATAAAAGTGGTCTTAAACGTAGACTGCAGTTCCAACCTTCTTATATGGAGCAGCACAGCAAGAGGGAAGGTCACTTGATTCAATCAGAAGGGAGTTGGGATATTTCCATCCTAATTCAAGTGAGAACCAGTGGATAGGTGGGACAAAATTAGAGACGTTGCAACTAAAGCCTGACGAGGGTCCTGCTCACGCGACTCAAGCAAAAGGTGTTATTACAATTGGAGCTACAAGGTGGGTTGACAACTATAACATTCCAGTCTTCACAAATGACATATCCATTGTTCGTAAAATTGCAAAGAGAGTCAGTGGCAGAGGAGGTGGACTTCCATCAGTTCAATCCATGGCGCTAACTCACGGAGGTGGGACAATTGAGGTTGCTTGCAACTTACTAGAACCTGCTAGAATTGGTGGTAACCAAGTGCAGCTTGAAGTTGAGCGACTTGCTAGGGAAGAAGGTATTTCTGTGGGGAAAGGATACTATACCGATCTCTCAGAAGAAAAAATAATCGAACGTTACTTGAAACTAGTTCAACATTCTGACTAGAGAGCTACAGGAAAAAATTATTCTATCCATCGTTCCTATTTTCCTTCTCTCTTTTCGCGCATTTTGCCAAGATTTTTGGAACATTTGATCTTGAACTCTAGCCTCCAGAACTAAGCAATAATATGTTTGTGTAAAATGTTGAATATTTTTTTTCACAGTTGGTCATAGCACACAATATTGTGCTCATACTACATTTCTGAAACATTCTTATTGTATATCCAACCTTTTGTAATCTTAATGCTCATTGTTTTAAGGATTCTCTCCATATACATAAAGACATCTATCTTAAGAAGTCCAGCGGTGGAGCTAGTATTTGACTTTTATGAATTTTGAAATAGCCACCTATTCATAGCTCGTTTTAGTTACTGACTCGCGATTACATATTTATACATAATTTCATGGATTTCTTAATACAAACACAAGATGTAACACCTTGTTGAGAACTAGATAGCATTGTTCTTCATTTAATATGGTTGATTGTACCTTCTTGATGAAAAATATATTTCTGTGGAAAAAGGTGAGGTTTTTGTAATAGAAAAGAGAAATATCAAAAACACATCTAAATTTTTATTTTATTTTTAGTTTCATACCTAAACTATTACTTATTAGTTTGAGAAATAGGATAGTTTAGATATGAAATTCAAAAAATAAATAGTTTAGATATGAAATTCAAAAAATAAATAGTTTAAATGTGTTTTCGACCCTCATATCAATAGAAAATGAGTTTGTCATAAAGCTAAATACAAAATGGTTGGAATAAATGATAGATAATGTGTTTTCTAGTTAGTCCTAGTCATTGCCTTGTCACACTGTCAATTCATTTATATCTTATTGTCCTTGTTTACAATTTACAAATTGTCATATTCTTGATATCAGAAAATTGAGGCTTCACTTTCTTCAACAATATCTTTTATCGAGATTTTGAGATTATTGTGTGATCGTAGAATTAAAAAACTATAAATAAAGTTGATGGATTACCATTTATTGAAGAAAAAAAAAGGGACTATGATCTTTATCTTTATATTCCTTTTTCTTTTTTTTATACTCACTCCGTCTGTCTTTATTAACTATTGTGTGATCATAGAATTCAAAAGACTATAAATGAATCATCACTTATTTATGTTTCTGTAGAATTGTGTCAAATGAAACAATCGACAAATAAAATAGATGGAAAAGGGAATTTTCAATGTCCTTAATTACGTTATTGATTCACGTACGTGTTTTGGTTGTATTCAATATTTTAATTTCCATCCGTATTTGAAAAACACTATTAGACTGCCCTAAATCATGGATTTCTTAATTAAATTGTTGCTTGAATAATAATATTACTAATTAATAAAGGGGCAGCTGGATGTAAAATTAATTTAATAGCCTATTTTATACTCTTGACTCTTGTTTGAGAAGCAACCAACCCCCCCCCCCCCCCCCCCAAAGCGTGTATTATTTTATAAGAATGAGATCTATTTCTTTTTAATTTTTTTAATTTTTATTTTATGTGTGTATGGGGAAGGGGGGAAGGGGGGAAGGGGGGTTGCATATTAAAATTGTTGCTCGAATAATACTCACTCCCATCCTTTTTTTTAATGGTTACGTTTCGCTTATTGAAAATTATATTAAGTCGACTAATTTTTAAAATTAAATTAAATTAGATCAATTCAACATTTTAAAATTATTTAGTTGTTTGAAAACTATACAAAATTCTTCTCACACTAATATGATGAAAATATATATCTTAAAATATTGATTAAAGTCTATATAGTTTGACATTTGAAAAGTAAAATATGACAAATAAAAATAAACGAAATAATATTAACAACTTTGACACAAGCGGAACGTCATTAATTTAGTAGTCACATCACACATGCATTCAATATTCCTTGTCACTCATTAACAAAAAAAATCAGGTGCTTAACCCAAACCACGCGTAACGATAGATACATAAATAAATAAAAACATTCAATCAAAATAATTTAAATTTTTAAATAAGACGATAGCAGATTTCTAACACGTAAAACAAAAGATGATGTGTGACCAACTTTATTTTATTTCTGAAACTATAAACATACCATGTGTGGCCAACTGTTTTTTTTTTTTTTTTCTGTTGTTTGGGTGTTGGAATTAGGATTAGGTTTGGATATTGGAATTAGGATTAGGTATTTTTTTTTCTCCTCTTCAATTTGTTTATCTCATTTAAACATGTTTATGAAAATAAAGAAAATTTTACGTGATATGTCGGTCGGATATATCACTTTACGCGACATATAAGTTAGATAAATCACCTTACGTGATGTATCGGGACGTTGGATGATGTATACGAAATCGAGACGCGAAGTATCAGGATATTGAGTGATGTATCCGAAATCGGGATGCGATGTATCATAACGTTTTGGAATGTGTCCGAATTCCACCAAATTTAAGGATTTTTTGTAATTTTAAAAAGAGAAGAAATATGACGTAATTAACTTTTAACACCATGAAATTTGTGTAAAATTCTCAAAAAATATCGTCTTTCTGTAATTAAAAAATAATTTAATTTAAAAAATGTCTTTAATCTTATTGAAATGATTTATAACTATACAAATAATTAAAAAAATATTTTATAAATCACAAATTTAAAAGTCTTCATTACTTAGATAGTGTCACGTAAAGTAGCACGAAGATTGAGGGTCAATTAGTGGTATTGTGACATTTGATTTGTAATGTGTCCCCATCGTTGCTTAGTCAATTAGCTCCATGAAATAGACTCCTCCTATAGTATACTATATATAAAACACCTTCCTTCCTTCCTCCTCTCAAATCAATTCTCAAAAAAACTAAATTTATCATCAACAAAATCACACACACAAAAATACAAGAGAAACACAAGCACTAAGAAGAAAAAAAATGGATGCCAACTCAGAGTGCAAGGTAAGAACTCTCCCTCTTAAAGAGTTATAAACATTTCTTCATTCTGCAAAATTTCTCTTTTCATTTTGCTCTCATCAGTTTTGCTGATAATTTTCAAATTTAATCGTGGTGTTCGAATCAACTGTTTTGTAATTTTCCTCAATTTTTGTGTAGAATGTTGAAGATTTTCCTCAATTTGTGTGTAGTATGTTGAAGTCTGTAACCATCTCATAGGGCCAAGTACGTTAATTTGGGTAGCAGTGAGATTTGATCCTAGCGTGACTATTTTATCTAATAAAAATGTGTTTTCTCTAACATCTCAGTTGGTCCATTATAATTTGTATATTCCATGTGTATATTTTAAAATTTGCTAAAGGATAAGATTTGTTTGGATATTTACTCAATGAGTCACATTATATTGTACTAGCATTGTGCATTTTTTTGTATTTTATTTTTCTCTGTGTATAGTAGTAGTATAAAAATAGGGACAACACAACACGTGTCCACTTTCTAGAACTGTTTTTGTGAGACACGTGATTCTCGTTTGTCTGAACCTTTAATATTTGGGCCTCAAAATATCCAAATAGCCCAATCACATCCCTTAAAATAATGGGCTGAATTATCCATAAAATTCCTTGGGCCACCTCCGCCACAGTTTATGTGATATAGTTTAGTGAAAATTACAAAAGTATATTACTTAAGACTTTAATTAACAATATATACACGTACTTATTTTTAATTACAAATGAAGTTTCTAAATTACAAACATAGCATATTTAATTAATTTTCGTTTTTAATTATTTATTTATTTTCAATTTTAGTATATCATTTTTTGGGGATTCTGTGCCTATTTTTGGGGGATGATTATCATGTACTAAATTTATCTCACCAATTAATGGTTATTACTTAGTTTTTCAAATATTTTTTTTATCTTTCCACCTCTTCAGTTTTCCAAGAAATTGTTACTTCCTATGCAGTTTTATTTTCTTGAAAAATTTAAAACTTCTCGCTTTTCTATGTTCTTCTTCATTCTACTTTGTTCTTCTTCTCTCTCTGAATTTTGTTCATCTGAATTTCACCATTGTTATCTTTTACCTTTAAAATTTTTAAACGTGAAAGTTGCTCAATAGATGTTGGAACAGTGCTAGATATAATATAGACTAAGAATCAAAAGGTTCACGTAAAAAAGATCAAGATACTTCAATGAATACAAATTGTAAATAAATTAAAATCTTTGATCTAGTTTCTTTCAATAGTATTGTAAGGATAGGAATACACATGGAGATTTAGATTCCGCAATTTTGATAGTATTGTAAGGATAGGATTACACACCAACCTTACAACGATAATCAAACCAATATCATATTATAGATAATATCTTTTGAATAATACACCAATATTAGAGAAATCATAGTTTATTATTATTAAAATTTACAATTATTTCATAACCATTTACACAAATAGATTTGTGCATAAAAAAGACAAGTTAATATCAAACTCACAAACATGAATGTTTATATCATTCAGTACACCAATAATATGATTCATCCTACCAACATAAAACTAAAAGTTTCAACTACATAATGTTTTAAGTAAAAATAAAATAAAAACAACACACTACTGTTAAGCTTGATCCGCAAATTTGGAGCAAGTCTTCTTGTTATACCTTGGTGTACCACATTTACTACAAGTAACTTTACTTTTCTTGCATTGTCCTTCATTGAATCCCTTCTTACGATCATTATTTGATGGTCTGCCTGGTTGCTTTCTTGCAATTGGTGGTAACACTACCGCTTCCTTCATTGGTTGCTTTCTTGCAATTGGTGTTTCCATCATACATCACTCCTTCAATATTGTAATCCACGTAATTTTCTGTAAAATTGCAAATTATTAATTAATTTCCAAAATTAGCAGAATGGTGTTCCTAAAGTAATTAAATTACACCAAATCATCTACACCATCTCAACTAACAACTACACATAATAATTTACCATCACAAATCAATAAGCTTTATAAACAATTTAATAATTCTTCAATTTTGTTAGCTATACCAAATCAGGCAACTTATGACACCAATAAATGTACCAAAATATTTACTGCTAATAATGCTGGTATTC